TCTCGGACAGCTCTTCAAGCCGCCCTCGATGCTGCAGATGCAGCAGCGAGATCCACAGCCATGGTCATTGTCATGCGGCGTGCCTCATGGTTTGCTTCTTCCTCCTTTCCCAAGGAGATACAGAACACTGTCGAAGATCTCCCCTTTGATGAGGACAAGTTCTTCGCCTCTACGACCAATGAGGTCCTTCATTCCATGAAGGACTCACGTGCCACACTCCGATCCTTAGGCATCCAAACACCTGTCACAAAGAAGAGACAATATAGATATCAGCCATACCAACGACCGCGTTAGCATACTTTTGAGCAACATCCACCTTTAAGGCAATATGATATGCAACAACAACATAGACCCAAGAACCAACGACGTCACCCTCCGCAAACAACAGCACCCCACCCTCCTAACCCAAATAAACAAATTTGAAGTCTTGGTCGAGGGTATAGAAAACGTCGCACCTTCTCCAGCACCGACTCCAACGACCCATTTCTTTGGACACTGTTTGTGTCCGTTCCTTGCCAACTGGGAAACCATCACTACAGACAGATGGGTCCCGGAAATTATCAGATCGGGTTATGCCATCCCCTTCCTCTCTTTACCTCCCGCCCCCCCCCCACCCCATTCCTCTTCAGGGACCCCTCTCACAAACAATTGCTCCGTCAGGAGGTACAACACCTCATGCATCTTGGAGCAATTGAGGAGGTACCCCCTCAACACAGAGGGAAAGGGTTTTACTCCCACTACTTCTTGACGGAAAAGAAAAACGGCAGATGGTGCCCTAGCCTCGATCTTCGACGTTTGAACAAGTTAATCAAGAAACAAATTCAGGATCGTTACTCTCCCAGTGATAATTCCGACGCTGGAGCATGGAGATTGGTTTTCAACCCTCAACCTCCAAGATGCATATTTCCATGTCTCTATTCACCCTACCCATCAACCTTTCCTCAGATTTGCCATGGGAGTGCAACACTACCAATACAGAGTCCTCCCATTTGGCCTCTCCACCGCACCATATGTCTTCTCGAAGGTGCTAGCAGTTGTAATAGCACATCTCAGGGAAAAAAGGGATCCTCATTTTTCCTTACCTGGACAATTGTCTCCTCAAGTTCCCCACTCAATTAGAAGCGAACCATGCAACTTTTACAACCCTTCACTGCTTCCACACCTTAGGTCTGCAAATAAACAAAAACAAATCTACCTTACAACCTACCCAACAAATTGACTTCATCGGTGCCCACCTTGATTTCACCACTGGTCTTGCATCTCTTCCCCAGGACAGGTTCCACACAATGGGCACTCTTATTACCCAGATACATGCCAGCTCACAGACTACAGTCCGAGACTCCCTGCAGCTCTTAGGACACATGGCCGCTTGTACATTTGTGGTCACAAATGCTCGCCTGTATATGTGATGCCTTCAGGGTTGGCTAGCCATGGTATACAAACCAAACACGCACAGGCTAAACAAGTTACTAAATATGCCCCAGAAAGTCAAGGACTCACTTCTGTGGTGGACCTCTCCCATCAATCTCTGTACCAGGATTCCCTTCCGACAAGATCCCCCTTCAATTACCATCACTACAGATGCCTCCCTCACAGGATGGGGAGCCCACATGGGCCACCTCACCACTCAGGGTCTCTGGTCTGCTTCAGAAACCAAGCTTCACATAAATTTGCTAGCGCTCAGGGCCATACGCGATGCCTGCCTCCATTTCCTTCCCATCATCCAAAACTGCCGAATTCGAATCATGACCGACAACATCGCGTGCATGTTTTATGTCAACAGACAGGGGGAGCCCAGTCCCACTCCCTCTGCACAAAGGCGGTAAAACTTTGGAACTGGTACCTTCAACACAATATCCATCTCTCCGCCTCATACCTGCCAGGTTCTCAGAACACCACCACAGAGGAGCTCAGCCAATCGTTCCCCATACAGCATGAGTGGGAACTCAACGACACCATTCTTTCCAACATTTTCCAGACCTGGGGTTATCCCCAACTGGATCTATTTACCAAGCAAAATAAAATAAAACACGCAAATCTATGTCTAATCAAACTAAATACAGATAATCTCATCCTTAGAGATGCTTTAGTAAGTTTTTTCCTCAGACTGGACACTTTTCAGGCCTGGGCACAATCAGTGGCGTAGACAGGTTTTAAGAGCAGGGGGAGCAAACATAAAAAAGACGGCCCCCCCCTTGGCTCCTCCTCTGGCCACACACCCCCTTGGCTACTCCTCCGGCTGCTCCGCGCCCCCTCCTCCCGGCTGGTTCCTCCGGCCATGCCGCGCCCCCACCCATCGCTCCTCCGGCCGCACCACCTCCCCCTTGGACCCATCCCCCGGAGCAGCACTCGGCAGCATCCCGGGCCCCCCACCCTCCCAAAGGGCTGTCCCCACACCTCACTTTCGGAGGCACCTTCCTTGAAACCTGGGGAGCTGCTATGCCCACACCCACCTCGGGTACC